TATAGAGAAGGTCATGTATTTTTGCTCCATGTGCTCTGTTTCATTGACAGGTCAAAGTAACGCCAGATTCATCCACAGCCTTCTCCCTTAAACCATCTACTGAACCATATTCATCTTGTCTTTGTGCTAATGGGAGAAAGACCTTCAAATGGGTTCTATCAGCTTCAGTTCTTGGTCAGTTTTGGATCATCTCTAAATTGGTGTGTATATAAGATGTTGCTCATTTCCTGTCTGTCACTGCAGGAGCCGTCAATGTGACTGTCAGTGCTTCAGCTGAACCATCCCGGACCCGATGTGGCACTGAGGTCGTGACCGTGCCGACGAGAGGACGCATTGACATAGTCACTCGAAGTCTACTTGTCCTAGTAAGTGTTAACAGCCTTCTGGGGTTTGATCATAAATCTCAAGCTGCTTTACTGATGTGGTGTTCTTGCGTTTTATAGCCTGAAGGAGTTGAACGGACAAACACCCAGAGTTGGCTACTGTGTCCAAAGGGTTTGTTTGCACTCAATGATACCCAACACATTCTCCCTGTACAGTCAAACATTAGCCTATCATTTAATGCTGAACCATTCTGTTCTGTCTGCAGGAAAAGTTCTTTCTGAAGACGTGTCTCTGACGTTTCCAAAAAATGTGGTTCAAGGGTCAGCCAGATGTTCAGTTTCAGTCCTTGGTAAAGCGTTTCATTGAGTAGCAATTTACATGTGAAACTTGGTTGATCACTGTTTGTGATGTGGTTTTATGCTTGACCTCTTGTAGGGGACATAATGGGTCGTGCGCTGAAGAATCTGGATCGGTTATTACAGATGCCGTATGGCTGTGGAGAACAGAACATGATTGTTCTTGCTCCCAATATTTACATCCTGTTGTATCTGGAAGTCACGGATCAGCTCACCGCAGCCATTCGAGAGACTGCCACAGGCTTCCTTCAGAGCGGTATGATTGACAATCCACTTTACATATGTAGGGGATTTAATTCCATGGACGTTTAGTCCTGCTCTTTCAATTGGAGTGCCAGACTGTTTAACTCCTGACCAATTTACATGTTGCATTTGGACTTATCAGGATACCAAAGACAACTGAACTACAGACACAACGATGGTTCATACAGCACCTTTGGTAATGATGAATCAAATACATGGTGAGTTTCACACTGTTCTTTTGTGTTTAATTTGTGGCACCTATTTTGTTCTAAGTTCAGTTTGACTTATTCTCCATGGCCAGGTTGACTGCCTTTGTCATGAGGACTTTTGGTCTAGCGAGGCAGTTTATCTTCATTGATCCACATGTCCTGCAGAGTGCAAAGGATTGGTTGATCAGCAAACAGGGTTCAGACGGTTGTTTCATTCAGCAGGGAACTCTGCATCACGTTGACATGAAGGTGCATTACATGGTTCTTAAACTATGCTCCAACCAATGACTTGGTGTGATGGTTCTTCTAAATCAGTCTATGGGGTGTTTTAGGGTGGAGTTGGTGATGAGGTGACCATGACCGCCTACGTTGTTGCATCGCTGCTTGAACTAGGTGTCCCCACCACGGTAAACTTCTCCAGTATTTGTTTGAGCTCCTTGCAGATGACCTTTTTCTAGCTGTTTTCTGACCTTTGCTTTCAGGATCCCGTAATTACCAACGGTCTGTCATGCTTGAGGCCTGTCATTGGGAACCTGGGAAACACTTACGCCACGGCTCTTCTGGCCTACACCTTCAGTCTTGCTGGAGAGACCACCACTCGATCACAGCTTTTAGCTAGCTTGGAAAACAATGCAATTTCTAATGGTGAGATACCAGTCTCTTGATGGTTCATCAGGTTCTTTTGCATCAACTTTCCCCTCCATCTAATCTTAAGGTACTAAGCTCCATTGGTCTCAGACGACATCTGGTGATACTCTGGCGGTGGAGATCAGCTCTTACGTGCTGCTAGCAGTTCTCGCTGTTCAGCCTCTCACAACGGCTGATCTGGGCTATGCTAACCGCATTGTCAACTGGCTCGTGACCCAGCAGAATTCCTATGGAGGCTTCTCATCCACCCAGGTGCCTATGACTACCAGACATGAGTACAATCATTTGAGGATTTTTAATCTGGTGCTTGTTTTTAGGACACAGTGGTGGCTCTTCATGCCCTGTCTGTGTACGCTGCTCAAGTGTTCAGCTTGGACGGCTCCAGCTCTGTTACCGTACAGTCCTCTGTGGGAGAAGACTCGCACAGCTTCAAAGTGAATCGGGACAACAGGCTGCTGTATCAGGAGAAGCGGCTGAAGAACGTTCCCGGCAAATATAGTGTTAAAGTATCAGGATCCTCTTGTGTGTCTGTGCAGGTCTGTATTTTCACCCCCTCTTTCGGTTTCTTTTGTACACATCCTTATCCTACTGTCCTTTTGTTTGCTCTGCACTCATGGTAGGTTGCGTGTTTCTACAACATCCCGACACCTGCTAAAGACTCCAAAAAACTTAGTGTTGCCGCAAAGGTGACTGGAGACTGCCAACAGCTTGAAGTCAATCTCATGTTGGACTTCACGGTGAAGTAAGAACCTTTCACTTTGTGGCCTGAAACCAGCTCATTTTTATGAGATCCTGTTTCTTGATCTTGTTGACTAAACCTCTGTATTCCCCCATCACCTCATTCAGGTACAATGGTGTAAAAGCAAGCACAAACATGGTTATCGTGGACATTAAGCTCCTGTCAGGCTTCAAGGCAGATACCTCACTGGTTCGTATGTTTAAGATTTAGAAAGTCTCAAGATATTTGGCGCTCTTTCAGTTGTGATTCTGTAAATGGTCTTTTCCCCTCAGCTCGGTTCTTCACCCCAATCGTTTGCTCCGCTAGTGGAGCGGGTTGAATCTGAAGATGATCATGTCTTGGTGTATCTGAAAGAGGTGAGACTCACCCTGAGCATATTACTTGATGCCATCTGATGTTCTGTATACAGTATGTGCTGCTGTTCATCCTTTCGGTCTCGCAGGTTCCCAAAGGCGTCCCCATGAGTTACAGTCTGCAGCTGAAACAGGTTCTTAAAGTGAACAATCTCAAACCAGCAGTCATCAACATTTATGACTACTATGAGCCAAGTAAGCTTTCATCCTAATCATGCTTTAATATGGCTGAATTCCCAACTTAACTTGACTTTCCTATTCCTCTCTCAGGTGATTCGTTCGAGACCACCTATACGTGTCCCTGTCCATGATTGTTTCAGTACTGGCTGTAGGACATGTGACTTAAATAAAACTGCTTTTATACAATCAGTTCTCTTTGCCTCCTTTTGTTGCCAATCTGTGACCTTTGTTTGAAGCAGGAAGTTGGTGTTCATGATTTATTTGTCCTGTGACCTACAATATGACTGAAGTGTAGTGCAACAAACATGAAGAAAAACCGTCTTGGGTTTTTTCGTAAGAATGATGTACATCTATAATTAGGGTTGCCCCTAATAGTCGACTAACACTTAGTCGATGAGGTTTCGTTGACCAATTTTATTAATCGTAGTGCAAACAGAAAACGGTGTGTACCTGGTGTTACGAGTGCCTGTGAAGGCATGTCTCAACAAGTAACATTGGGTAAAAAACAAATCTGCTCTGCCTCAAAATCAGAAGTGTTGAAGTGTGTAAGTATTCAGGAAATTATCTTGAGATACTGTAGTTATTATTTAACAACTGCAAGTTATGTTAATCATCTGTGGGGAAGAAGACAGATTAAGTAGATTGTACACATTAAGAATTTCCACAACACTACCATGCAACAATTCCAATAACTTTTGTAACTTTCATCTGTATTAATCTATCATTTATTTATAAAAATAAAACCATCTAGTGTTATTTTACTTTTGATTTACATTTCTGTAGGCCCACCTGGATTTTTGTAGAGTTGTACTTATTTGTGTTATTGTTAATTTGTACTTTTTTTGTTCTTATTTCATTACTGACTACTTGTCTTTAGTAATAAGTATTAGTTAGTGTTTTAAGGGTGGTATTTTTGTGAAAACCATAGGCAAAAGTTCCTCGGAAATGTCGTTTATGCTGATGTTTGTATGGAGTTCAGCTGCAAACGAATGTTTTGCGAAAAAGACAATGGGTTTGATATCAAATGTTGACTCATTTTCTACTTGTTAACTTAATGTTATCTATAATATTTTGTGAATAACAAGGAATTATCTGTCATTATAAGAGATTGATATAAATATGTGAATGTTTAATTTTTATTAATAATTATTTAGATTTTTTTGTCTTTTTTCCCCCTCTTTCATATGTAAAAGTGTATGTGCTTATTGGTTGTTCTAATGATGTGGTGTTTATGTGTTGGTGGGTAAAGGAAAAAGTAAAAGGAAAAATAGGGAATTGGGGGAAATATGTCTTTAAAGGAACTGTCCATTTGTATAATTGTGTTAAATGTTTTTTAATTGATAGACAAAATAAAGTACATAAAATATATTTGCTAACATATTTGTTGTTGGACATTAGACGTGCCTTATTTAGAATTTTAAACCTACAGGAAATTCCTTGTGTTCGATCTCTAGTGTTGCTATCTGTTCTGCCATTCTGTGTTTTATGCACAAGGGGATTTTTTAAATGCACAAGAAGTGATTCTCAAATGTGTGCAGCTATTTACAAATGCACAAAACACAGTTCGTAAATACATGGCAGGCAGAATTGTGTTTATGACATAAAACACATTAGTAAATATTTGTATTTTATTTTCAAATCTCATTTTATTTATTTGTGAAACTGTTTACATGTGTATGTGGATCTTAATCTATTTATTTGTGAATTTGATATATTTTTGTGCATCTCAATCTATTTATTTGGAATAATGCAACAATTCTAACCCCTTATTTATGAGCTTGGCATGAGCTTTTGATGGACAGAGGAAAGAGCGTGTGTTTCAGACTTGGCAACCCTGTGATTAATTAGCGCGGCTCCGCCCTAAAGACGTCCTGATTGCCTGAGAGTGTTAATTCAACCTGTTCTGAATTATTAAGATCGTTTAAATAACACTGGCATCAGTGCAGCTGATTTAGAGTTAAGCTGTAGAGCAAGTGTGGGTCTCAACAGAAGTGGTGCAGGGTTTGTGAAAGAGACTCTTGCTTTCGGTCTAGTCTTGAATGATCGCTCTTCATGGCTGTGAGGGAGATTTGTGTTTGGAGAGGGCTCATTTTAGCCCTTTTCCTCTTTGCTGTTGATGGGCAGAAAAGGCCGTAAGTCCAAGTGGCCTAGTGTTTATGCTTTTGCAGTTTTAAATATAGCAAAATGATGCACCAGAGTTTTAACCATATGTTAAAGGTTAATTAATCATGTTATACTTTAGTTTTGTTTATCTTTTTTTCTTTGACACTCAATCCCACATACTTCAACCTCTTAATGATTACTCTCATGCAGCTCTAGGTTTTATGTTGGAGTACCAAATTGTTAACTCGATTCAAGCACGTCTTATCTTTAAATGAAATCTGTAATTTAAGAAGCTGGATTATTAAACCTTTGGCAATTTAAGTTTGTGTTGGTGCTGCTAGTGATGGGGACGAGACTGTTTATGCCGAGTCGAAGTCGAGACCAAGTCTTTGAGGAAGCAAGTCTGAGTCGAGATTTTGTCCCGACATATCAGTTTTGATATTGATGAATTAATATCGCCCCAGTTAATAATCAACAGTTAGGCCTACAGACTAAGCTAGATTGGGAGTTGTTTAGAGCAGCCGTTAGTGATGGGGACGAAACCACCAATGCTGAGACCGAGTCTTTGAAGGAACAAGTCCGAGAAAGCCGAATTCGGTCTCGAGACCCCTGTGGCAGCCACTGTCTGTGAATGTTCAATCAACATGTTAATGTTCTGACCTGATTTCCTTTAGTCTCTGAACCTAAACTTCATGATGTTTCCACAGGTTATTCATGGTGACGTTCCCTGCAGTGATTGAATCTGGATCTGATGCCAAATTGTGTGCAAGTCTTCTTAAACCCCAAGAGAGTCTCACAATGACTGTTTCCCTGCTTGATGACGAACATGGGATGACTCAACTTGTGCAGCAAGTTTCTTCAAAGCCATTTCACAGCTGCTTTTGTTTCCAGGTCTGTCATTAGATGCAAGGTATCTCTTATTATAATTTTTTTTTTTTGTCTGGTTTAACTAAGTTTTCCTACAGGCTCCTCAAGTGGATAAAGAGTCTGTTCAGATGCTGAAGGTAGAAGTTCAAGGGAAGGTCTTTAGAGCGACTGAGGAGAGGAAGGTCATGTTTAGACGTTACTTGCCTTTGACCTTCATCCAAACAGACAAACCCATCTACAATCCAGGACAAACGGGTGAGCTGTGAATGTCCCTTGGTTGAATGAGAGGTGGAGGAAAGTTCATTTTGCTACAAGTTCTAATCTTTAATTGCATAATGCACTTGTGTGTTTATTGCTGTTTTTGCAGTGAATTTCAGAGTTGTCACCATGGATGCCAAATTTTTGCCTCTCGATCAGATGGTAAGAGCTGACTATGAACAAAATGCAAGTTTATTGCAGGTTATTTGTGCACAGTTTCTATTTTCTTCAAAGACTTGGCTGCATTGATGTTTATGCTTTGTGTCTTGCAGTACAATCTGGTGGTGGTGGAGGTGAGAATTTGCTCCGGTGCAAGTTTTTGAATGGAGCCAACACAGCTTATTGTATTCTTGCTTTGTTTGTAGTTTTTCCTTTGAGCTGTTAATTCTTTTTTAAATAGGACAATCAGAAAAACCGGATTGGTCAGTGGACAAACATTTCCTCAACGGACTGGATATTGCAGCTTTCTCATGAGTTAAACCCAGAGGCTCAGTTAGGGATGTACAATCTAAAGGCTTTTATTGGCGAGCAAATGATATCCCAGGTTTTTGAGGTGAAAAAATACGGTAAGTCTTTGTATATAATGTGAAACATTACAACACCAGATCGAAGGTCTTAATCTTAAAACATTTTGTTCCTGATTTAGTTTTACCCAAGTTTGATGTGACCGTAAACACACCACAGATGTACAGCGTTGGAGATGTGGGACTGAAAGTTGAGGCTTGTGCCAAGTGAGTGACCTTTACCTTTTTTTTTCTTGCTCCCACATGTCTTGTTGTCTCGCTTATCTTGTTCCTTGTGACCTTTCCCAGATACACATATGGCCAACCTGTACCTGGTGAAGCCTTGGTGGAAGTATGCCGTGAGCCGTTTTCATACATCATGGCTCCTGAGTTGACCCGTTGGTGTCTGAATCAAACCACAGAGGTGTGTGACTCCTGTCTTGCAGTGGATGGTTTTTCTTCTGCTTGTACTTGACTTAAATGTGACTCTTTGTTCTTCTACCAGATGAATGCCACTGGCTGTGCCTCCCTTACCGTCGATACTTCAATGTTTTTCAACACCAAATATGAAAATAAAATGAAAGATACTCTTCTTGTAAATGTGAACGTCACTGAGGAGGGAACAGGTGAGCTATTGGCTGATCTAAACCAACAGCACATGTATGGAGGAAGTTGACTTGGTAATTCGGTTTGTTTGTTTCCCCAGATGTAATGATGTCAAAATCTGCAACAGTGTCCATTACTTTTGAAGTCGGTAAAGTCACGTTTGTGGACCTCCCAGATCATTTTGATCCTGGATCAATGATTAATGGAAAGGCAAGTTTTTTTTTTTTTTTTTTTTTTTTTTTTTTTTTTTTCTTATTTCTGTCAGCCTTCACATTTGTTCCCTTTCCTAACCTTGGTCATTCCCAACAGATTTCTGTGTCTCGTTTCGATGGTACTCCAATTGCAAACAAAGTGGTCCATCTCCTACATGGTAACAGCTGGCCCAACAAACTGCTGCAGAATCTGACCACAAACCAGGATGGTCTGGCTAAGTTCTCTCTCAACACTGCTAAACTTCCTAAAGCTGCTCTCAATCTGGTGGTACGATTTGTTCTTTCTTGTGAAATGTAGATTTCTCCCAATCTCTTTTGCATTAAACCCATTCCATTTGTTCCCCAGGCGAGTGTGACTCCAGGGGTTGTTAATAGTTACAAATTGCCATACTTCACTTCAGATACAAGGGTTGTTCAGCTTCTCCATCCTGATTCCTCCAGTAACCCATCTAGTGAACTGACTATAGTGAAGCTCGAGCAGCCGCTTAAATGTGGTGCTACGTTTCCAGTGACCGTGAAGTATTTATTTGTTGGAGAGGCTGGTGACTACAGCACTGACATTGTCTATATGGTGAGATAACCAGAGGTTTTGTCTATTTTAAATGAACCTTGTTGCCGGTTTTATGCACCCGTTTGTGTTGTCAGGTTTTGTCCAGAGGATTGATCGTCCTCCATGGATTTGAGACTGTCAAAGCAAAGGCTTGTGATTCGGTAACTAGCGGCTCAGTATCGTTCCAGCTATCCGTCAATGGCGATATGGCTCCAGTAGTGCAGATTCTGGTCTTCTGCGTTCTGCCCAGTGAGAATGTAGTGGTTGGTAGTGCGTTGTTTGACACCGAAACATGTCTCCAAAACCAGGTATAATTTTATACGGGTATAAAACCATATTTTGACTTAAAGTGGGGAATAGTGACGTGTCCTACAGCGTGTTTGCGTCTTGTTCCAGGTGTCTCTACAGTTCTCTCCTGCTACGGCAGTTCCAGCTGAAGAAAATGTTCTGACGGTCTCTGCTGATGCAGGATCTCTGTGTGGCATCAGTGCTGTAGATCAGAGCATCCGGATCATGGAGCCAGGAAGACGCCTGAGTGCTAAAATGGTATCCATATGCAGTTGATTTTAAATTCTTATTGGGCTTCATTCACTACAAAACTCGAAAAATTAGAATCTTGTGCAAAAGTAAGAATTATTACCAGCTTCTGAACCCCAAATTCAGAATCTCAGAAAAGTGTGTATACATGAAATCAATTAAGCTAATTTTTAATGCAGAGATGTTGGACCGCAAAGTATAATTGTTTGTCTTTCATCTTTTATTTAGAATTACTGGAATTCATTTTTGCACAATAGTCTAATTTTTCACCTATATAAACTTACCATAACATGCCAAACATTAATGCATTTAATCCATTTTCCAAAAACATGACAACACTGTTTTATGGTCATAGGTGTTAGACTTGCTCCCGGTGCGATCGCTAGCAGGTTACCCAAAAAATGTCCAGGATGAACCAGAGTGTCTAGGCTTTCGACCCCGTCCAGCAATTCCAATAAATCCTCCCTCCATTGCTCCTACAAATCAAGCCTACACAACCTTCAAGGTAGCGAATCATTCATGACCACGTAGTCAACGAATAATATGGAGTCAAAGACTTTAAATCTGTTTTGGCTTGTTGCTATGACAGAGTATGGGAATGAAGATCGCAACAAATCTCCCTGTACGAGCCCCTCCGTGCCCGTTGTTTCCCAGATTCCCAGAAGGTAGGTCTATGCGGATGGGAAATTTTGCATGACTTGCCTTGAGTTATGATGGGTTATTCCACGTTCTTTGTGGATCAGCAAATTGTTGTTTTTAATCTTTTTATAAATGAAGCATGTGGACTCTGGTTATTCTGCAGAGACTAAGAAAGTGCAGGGTAAGTGTTTGTAAAGTTGCTTGTCTCTCCAGTGATGAGGTTTCGTGGTGGTCCTATGCCCATGGCTGCGGAAGCAAGGCCTATGGCAATGGCTTCTCCTGAAATGGCTTCTCCAGAAGACGAAGTTCCCCCTCCAGCAGATTCTGCAGTTTCTGCTTCTGTAGTGACTGTCAGGACTTATTTTCCAGAAACATGGCTCTGGCAGCTTGCTCAAGTGGGGTTAGTGAAGCATCTTGTTACTTCTAAAGCTACCTGCCGGCATATTTTACTTATCATTTCTCTCTTGTGCGGTCCTTCAGAGACACTGGATCCACAGAAGTTCCCCTCACTGTTCCTGACACCATCACCACATGGGAGACCGAGGTGTTCTGCCTGTCCTCTAAAGGTTTTGGTCTGGCTCCTCCTGCTCTGCTGACGGTCTTCCAGCCCTTCTTCCTGGAGCTCTCCCTGCCGTACTCCATAGTCCGTGGAGAGTCTTTTGAACTGAAGGCCACGGTCTTCAGCTATCTGTCCAAGTGCATCATGGTCTGTCATGGTTTATTTATATAATGGCTCTGTATAGAGAAGGTCATGTATTTTTGCTCCATGTGCTCCGTTTCATTGGCAGGTTAAAGTAACTCCAGAGTCATCCACAGCCTTCTCCCTAAAACCATCTACTGAACCATATTCATCTTGTCTTTGTGCTAATGGGAGAAAGACATTCAAATGGGTTCTATCAGCTTCAGTTCTTGGTCAGTTTTGGATAATCTCTAAATTGGTGTGTATATAAGATGTTGCTCACTTCCTGTCTGTCACTGCAGGAGCCGTCAATGTGACTGTCAGTGCTTCAGCTGAACCATCCCGGACCCGATGTGGCACTGAGGTTGTGACTGTGCCGACGAGAGGACGCATTGACATAGTCACTCGAAGTCTACTTGTCCTAGTAAGTGTTAACAGCCTTCTGGAGTTTGATCACGGATCTCAAGCTGCTTTACTGATGTGGTGTTCTTGCGTTTTATAGCCTGAAGGAGTTGAACGGACCAACACCCAGAGTTGGCTACTGTGTCCAAAGGGTTTGTTTGCACTCAATGATACCCAACACATTCTCCCTGTACAGTCAAACATTAGCCTATCATTTAATGCTGAACCATTCTGTTCTGTCTGCAGGAAAAGTTCTTTCTGAAGACGTGTCTCTGACGTTTCCAAAAAATGTGGTTCAAGGGTCAGCCAGATGTTCAGTTTCAGTCCTTGGTAAAGCATTTCATTGAGTAGCTATTTACATGTGAAACTTGGTTGATCACTGTTTCTGATGTGGGTTTTATGCTTGACCTCTTGTAGGGGACATAATGGGTCGTGCGCTGAAGAATCTGGATCGGTTATTACAGATGCCGTATGGCTGTGGAGAACAGAACATGATTGTTCTTGCTCCCAATATTTACATCCTGTTGTATCTGGAAGTCACGGATCAGCTCACCGCAACCATCCGAGAGACCGCCACAGGCTTCCTTCAGAGCGGTATGATTGACAATCCACTTTACATATGTAGGGGATTTAATTCCAAGGAGGTTTAGTCCTGCTCTTTCAATTGGAGTGCCAGATTGTTTAACTCCTGACAAATTTACATGTTGCATTTGGACTTATCAGGATACCAAAGACAACTGAACTACAGACACAACGATGGTTCTTACAGCACCTTTGGTAATGATGAATCAAATACATGGTGAGTTTCACACTGTTCTTTTGTGTATAATTTGTGGCACCTATTTTGTTCTAAGTTCAGTTTGTGACTTTATTCTCCATGGCCAGGTTGACTGCCTTTGTCATGAGGACTTTTGGTCTAGCGAGGCAGTTTATCTTCATTGATCCACATGTCCTGCAGAGTGCAAAGGATTGGTTGATCAGCAAACAGGGTTCAGACGGTTGTTTCATTCAGCAGGGAACTCTGCATCACGTTGACATGAAGGTGCATTACATGGTTCTTAAACTATGCTCCAACCAATGACTTGGTGTGATGGTTCTTCTAAATCAGTCTATGGGGTGTTTTAGGGTGGAGTTGGTGATGAGGTGACCATGACCGCCTACGTTGTTGCATCGCTGCTTGAACTAGGTGTCCCCACCACGGTAAACTTCTCCAGTAGTTGTTTGAGCTCCTTGCAGATGACCTTTTTCTAGCTGTTTTCTGACCTTTGCTTTCAGGATCCCGTAATTACCAACGGTCTGTCATGCTTGAGGCCTGTTGTTGGCAACCTGGGAAACACTTACGCCACGGCTCTTCTGGCCTACACCTTCAGTCTTGCTGGAGAGACCACCACTCGATCACAGCTTTTAGCTAGCTTGGAAAACAATGCAATTTCTAATGGTGAGATACCAGTATCTTGATGTCTCATCAGGTTCTTTTGCATCAACTTTCTCTCCATCTAATCTTAAGGTACTAAGCTCCATTGGTCTCAGACGACATCTGGTGATACTCTGGCGGTGGAGATCAGCTCTTACGTGCTGCTAGCAGTTCTCGCTGTTCAGCCTCTCACAACGGCTGATCTGGGCTATGCTAACCGCATTGTCAACTGGCTCGTGATCCAGCAGAATCCCTATGGAGGCTTCTCCTCCACCCAGGTGCCTATGACTACCAAACATGAGTACAATCATTTGAGGAGATTTTTAATCTTGTGCTTGTTTTTAGGACACAGTGGTGGCTCTTCATGCCCTGTCTGTGTACGCTGCTCAAGTGTTCAGTTTGGACGGCTCCAGCTCTGTTACCGTACAGTCCTCTGTGGGAGAAGACTCACACAGCTTCAAAGTGAATCGGGACAACAGGCTGCTGTATCAGGAGAAGCGGCTGAAGAACGTTCCCGGCAAATATAGTGTTAAAGTATCAGGATCCTCTTGTGTGTCTGTGCAGGTCTGTATTTTCACCCCCTCTTTCGGTTTCTTTTGTACACATCCTTATCCTACTGTCCTTTTGTTTGCTCTGCACTCATGGTAGGTTGCGTGTTTCTACAACATCCCGACACCTGCTAAAGACTCCAAAAAACTTAGTGTTGCCGCAAAGGTGACTGGAGACTGCCAACAGCTTGAAGTCAATCTCATGTTGGACTTCACGGTGAAGTAAGAACCTTTCACTTTGTGGCCTGAAACCCACTCATTTTTATGAGATCTTGTTGACTAAACCTCTGTATTCCCCCATCACCTCATTCAGGTACAATGGTGTAAAAGCAAGCACAAACATGGTTATCGTGGACATTAAGCTCCTGTCAGGCTTCAAGGCAGATACCTCACTGGTTCGTATGTTTAAGATTTAGAAAGTCTCAAGATATTTGGCGCTCTTTCAGTTGTGATTCTGTGTAAATGGTCTTTTCCCCTCAGCTCGGTTCTTCACCCCAATCGTTTGCTCCGCTAGTGGAGCGGGTTGAATCTGAAGATGATCATGTCTTGGTGTATCTGAAAGAGGTGAGACTCACCCTGAGCATATTACTTGATGCCATCTGATGTTCTGTATACAGTATGTGCTGCTGTTCATCCTTTCGGTCTCGCAGGTTCCCAAAGGCGTCCCCATGAGTTACACTCTGCAGCTGAAACAGGTTCTTAAAGTGAACAATCTCAAACCAGCAGTCATCAACATTTATGACTACTATGAGCCAAGTAAGCTTTCATCCTAATCACGCTTTAATATGGCTGAATTCCCAACTTAACTTGACTTTCCTATTCCTCTCTCAGGTGATTCGTTCGAGACCACCTATACGTGTCCCTGTCCATGATTGTTTCAGTACTGGCTGTAGGACATGTGACTTAAATAAAACTGCTTTTATACAATCAGTTCTCTTTGCCTCCTTTTGTTGCCAATCTGAGACATTTGTTTGAAGCAGGAAGTTGGTGTTCATGATTTATTTGTCCTGTGACTTACAATATGACTGAAGTGTAGTTCAACAAACATGAAGAAAATAAACCATCTTGGGTTTTTTCGTAAGAATGATGTACAGCTATAATTAGGGTTGCCCCTAATAGTCGACTAACACTTAGTCTAAGGTTTAGTTGACCAATTTTATTAATCGTAGAAAACTCAAAAGTGGTGAAATCACAGGTTTTAATGGACCGATTGTTAACTGCAAGAAATGCAAACAATTCACCAATCAATCTGTTATGGTTTATCAGAAGGCGCAACCAGAGTAAAAGGAATTCTCCTTCACGGCTTTCTTCTCCCCTGTGCACTTCCTCCATAGGCGCTCAAAACATCAGGCCTTAGCCTGGGCCAATGATGGGTGTTTTGGAACCCATTTGAAGGCCCGGCACTGGACTTGGTAGCGAGTGCACCCTTTCAGGCTGTAAGAGTATGGCAGGCCTCTTACATTTAAGGCCTCTGATTTTGAAGTCACAGGTTGAGCTTTGGTCACTTCACCACTGTGAAAGATTATAGGGACCTCAACTCCCTTTGGAAAGGAGAATAAGGGGATGTTTATTAAAAAAAAAGTATCACCTGTAGTGAGTAGCTTGGCCTCTTCTCAATTAGTTATTTTTCTAAGCTCACTTGAGCACCAGATAATTGATATGGCAAGTGTTCGGCCCTCTTAAGAGATTCTTTGATATCATCTGTTTGGTGGCCTGAATACAGTAGCTAGCACACGTCAAGCGGGATTCATCACTTTTTGCTATCATTTCAAAATAATTATATTTAAAACTAGACCTCTGAGTAATACTGATGATTTTGCTAAATAAATTACAGCAACAACTCCCACTTTTCCTTTTTAGATGAGGATCGTTTTTAGCACAGTAATCTTTGGGGGTGGACTCATTTAAGGTAATACCAGAATTGACTGAATATACCATTCATTTCTTTTACCCCATTCATTTTCTGTATTATTTATCTTAATACTAAATTGTGGAAATACTGCAATGCCAACAATGACTGTAAATGACTTGCTTCTGTAGGGTTTCAACGGTATGTGGGGATAAATGAATGTCTTTTATTTTCGTAGCGAGTCTGAGTTGAGTTGACTAAGTTGTTCACACACACTCATAAGATTAATTCACAAATGCCACTTCTATACTAATTATATCTTTATCCTTAGACCAACTACTGAAATTAAATATGGTCATTTGAATATAAAATGCCCTTTAGCATAGTTTCTTCCCTACAAAATAATGTTCACTCACCTGCTTAAAGTGAATATACTTATACATTATAAAATATGTAAGGAGAGATTCTTAAATACACTCGATTGCAAGTTTAATTGCATGACAAAGAAAGACATGTACAGCTGAATGTTGGTTCATCACAATGGTGCTCGTAGTTAGGGAAATACTCTCCATTCATGAACAGACTGTATAGCATGTCTCTTTCAGGTCCTTTAAAATGTGAAAATGGATCCTTATTTCCTAATTTTAAAATTTGGATGGATTTAAGAATTTTAAGAAAAGATCCTTTTATTAAAAACTAAATTGTCTTTGAAATCCAACTGGTTTTAAATATCTTAACTGATCTTCATACTTTGATTTCTTCATCCGCCTCAGTGAAGCTGTACGGTGTCCTTGTGTGTCTGAAAGATGAAGCTCTCTGCCGCTCCTCTTCAGATCTTCCTCCTCCAAAGTGACGTGTTAGCATGCTAGCAGCCTGCTGGAACTTCTTGGGCTCGATCCCGGCGTCTGCTGTGATTGGACGCCTGATTAAAGTGTTAGTCTCCGGCCCATTATGATCCATCTCAAACACAGAGCTTGGCTCCTCCTCTTCCTCTTGACGGCTCGTAATGAGGCAGCAAGAGCTGTCAATCAACTCCAGAACCTCGCTCATGAGGGAGGGGCCGAGGTCCACCGTGAAGGACGAGAGCGAATCAGATCGTGTCATGGAGACGTCACTGTTCTCCGGTAGGGAACTCTGTCGACTGTCTTCACTGAGCAGTTCAGGCGTTTCTGCAAAGCTTTGGTCCAGTCGTGATGAACGAGGCAGCGTGATGAAACCCGAACGATGACCTGCAGGGGAGGAGAGGAAAAACAACATGTGTCACCAGATCTTTCACATTAGTTAAGCATGACGAGATGCACTAAGATAATCAAGTATTGACTATTTACTTTCTTAATTCACATGGTTATATAGTGAATTATTTATCACTTCCGCATGTGTGCATTTTGACATCACCAGTCCCTCTTATTTTACAAACACCTTCATATTGAGACACTTTCTCCATCCAATCAATTCCTCATGAAGAAAATCAAGTCCTATCCTGTATTTTCTCGAACCTCAAATAGGTTATGAACAGCATTCAGCTCATATTAAGGAAACTCTTAAAGTCCGTTCATTATTATTTTTCAGCTTTTGTTGAAAAAATGGTGGAAAAATATGATATATATCCTCTTATGGCTTCCATACATATTCCACCCTCCATATTTTGCCTCAAAGAAGCGTATTTTAGGAAAGATTGTTTTGCTTTGTGTCTATTTGTCATTACATAATGCCTTATGTAGCCCTCAAAGCGTATTCACTTTATAGCCCTTAATCCTGTAATTGTGGACAAATTTGGGCACAGAGGACCCAGGTGTGATGCTAATTTTTATTTATTATAAATGTTATATCACTGTCTTCGATAAAGTTTTGCCTATCCATTTATGGTGTGTTTTTTTTATTTTGGGGGTATTTTTGAATTTATTTACTCCAAAAAGTACCATATTTTCTACCTAAAATTGTGCTTATTTTTATGTTTGATTTTTTTTTAACTACATTAAAATATCATTCCAGTAAGTTCTTAGAGCTAATACCTAAAGATGAAGTGACTTTGCTGTCACCTGGTTTTGGCTTATTTTAGAATGCTCTAAATTATAGTTTTTCCCATTCATTTCTATGAGTGCCCATTTTTTACCCAAATACAAGATTAAGGAGTGTTTTTTTTTACCCACTTAACATTGTAGAATGGAAAGAAAAAAAAATTGTGTGTTCAGGAGGCAAACTTAGGAAAAGTAGCCAAGTCTTGTACCGCTCAGATCAAGAGAAGTATTTTTTAAAAATAAATCAAAACTATTTTGCCAACATTTGTCCAGAATACGGTTTTAGGGTTAAACCTGATTCTGTATTCTAGTACCCAAAATTAGTAATCCATATATATAAGGGGTTCAATAAAGTGTCATTTTTTTAATTATTATTTTTATTTATTGAAAGGACAAACATAAATTTGAGAATTAACATCCTTTTAAATCTACATCTTGAATGCAGTTTAAGTCACTTTGGGTAAAAGTGCCTGCAAAATGCATAAATGTAAAAATTTCATATTAGCATCACTGGAGCTAAATAAACCAAACCTGGTGAACATTTGACCAGCTGTACAATGAGTCACATGATTAATTGCGTCTACAATAAATGTAAGTTAGAACTCTTGTTATATTGTCGCTATATGTAATATGTCCAGAGGGTGGCAGTATGAGATCTTTGTGTTGTGTGTGTGTTATATTTAGCTGTCAGTCTTTGAGGATTTTGGATTTCCCAGAATGAGGGAAATTCCAGAATTCCTGAGCCATAAAACACACTCCATTGAAAACAGCACTGCACTTTTCTTCAGTCCCACTCTCTCTGTGTGGGTGTGTGCGTTCGTGCATGCCTGTGTGTGTGAGCAGGTGTGTACTACAATCATTCCTGGTAAAGGTCATTCACTCTTTCCCATTCTTTGGTAATTACAGATCGTATCTCTGTTGTCTCAGCATCTCATGTTTTCAGCTGACATCCTTTAAGAAAAACGCGTCATGTTAAAAACAGCTTAACTGTAGACATGCAGTGCAGACGATTGACCTCACTTTCAAGATTGTACAGGATTTAATGGTTATAAATGCAGTTTTTGTTCATTTCCACTGCAGCGTTCAGTGCAGACTCGTTTATAAAAGGACCAAAACTATGACTAAATCTTTGACGCAATCTTGAAAACGTTGTCGATGATTGCAAACACCCAAATGGTCTATAGGTGTGCCTGAAATCGCATACTGTCCGAGTAGCTATTGACAAGGAACAAAAAAAACGTATGTTCTATATAGTACGAATGTAAACCGGATGAACATCTGCCATAATATTGTAGGACAAGTCCCGTCTGAATCTATTCCCTGAAAATTGAGCAACAAAAGTAGTTGGATATCTAAAAGTTGCAGTCAGCTGTTGGTCAGCTTGTGTGTAAATGTATGTTTTTCTACTTTTTATGTAATTTCTAGGTATTGTAGAAGGCTGATTAAATGCACTGGGATGGTTAGCAGCTGAGTGTGAAGAGGCTGGGATGAGAATCGGCACCTCCAAATCCGAGGCCATGGTTCTCAGTCGGAAAAGGGTGGCTTGCCCACTTCAGGTAAGTTGTGAATTCCTGCCTCAAGAGAAGGAGTTCAAGTATCTTGGGGTCTTGTTAACAAGTGAGGGAAGGATGGAACGGGAGATTGACAGACGGATCGGTGCAGCTTCTGCAGTAATGCGGTCGATGTACTGGTCTGCAGTGGTGAAGAATGAGCCGTAAGGCGAAGCTCTCGATTTACCGGTCAATCTAAGTTCCTACTCTCACCTGTGGTCATGAGCTTTGGGTCATGACCGAAAGGACAAGATCCCGGATGCAGGCGGCCGAAATGAGCTTTCTCCGCAGGGTGGCTGGGCAATCCCTTAGAGATAAGCTGAGTAGCTCGGTCACTCGGCAGGAGCTCAGAGTACAGCCGCTGCTCCTCCGCATCGAGAGGGGTCAGCTGAGATGGCTTTGGCATTTGTTCCGGATGCCAACTCGACACCTTCCTGGAAAGGTGTTCTGGGTGGGTCATACTGGGAGGAGAGCCCAAGGAAGACCTTGGACCATAGACAGTAAAAGAAATGGATACAGCGACCCCATAGACTTCAACGGAGAAAAGTGAAGTCATTTAGAAGCACTCACTTCCTGATGGCTGAGCGACTTCGTAGGCTCAAACTGAGTTTGAGGACGTAGATGTGACGTGAGCAACCAGTCTGACAGTTCTAGTAGCTGTGCCGAGATAAATCTGAATCATTCCCTTCCGAATATTGCAGAGACGGAGAGCGTGAGTAGGAGCAACTTTATGACCCTCTATGGGCTTCTCCCTCGACTTTGTCGGACTTTATGCCTCCATGTCCCCTGGATTGCCCACAAGCTTCTCCTCCTGTCTATATGGTAATTTCTCTACAGTGAAGAGAGTAAGGGCCGGTTCACATATCGCGTCTTTTGCGCGCTCAAGTTCATTATTTCAAATGTAGGCGCGCGGTATGCGCGCTCATAATGGAAGCGATGCGGTCGCGGTGCGACGCGCTCGTTTTTTCCATGCGCGTCCGCGCCGCGTCGAGACTTTTCAGAATACCGCAAGCGCACCATACGCACACAATAGGTCATGTGACAAGAACCAACTGAAGCGCAACCGCCCTGGCGCTTTGGAAAATGGAGAATGCGGAGCGCCAAGCGTTTTCTACGCGTTTTTAGGCGCTATATGTGAATCCGGCCTTACGATGCAATTTTTTACAAAAACGGCTTCTACATGTAAGATGGTAATGGAGCCTTTTATACATTTTCGTGTTTCTTTAGAAATAAATACAATAAAACAAATGGATTCTTTAAACGCCTCAGATTTAAAGTTATTCGCTGTCAAATCCCAAAATGAATGGGAGTCAATAGAGTTCTAACAGCAGGTGAAGGCTTGCTAACCAATGGCTGCCCCCATGGGAGGTCTGCTTTCCGGGTGCTGGATTACCCCCTTGCCTAGGACACGCTGAAGGGGTTATGTCTCCCAGCTGGCCTGGGAACGCATGGTATTCCCCCCAGAAGAACTGGAGGAAGTGTGGGCGTCTCTGCTAAGACTGATGCCCCCGTGACCCTGCCCCAGATAAGCGGAAGAAGATGGATGCATGGCTAATTAAATATTTGCTTAGTTATCACTAAAGCTCTCTTTACGTTGCTGTAGATCATTAAACCGTTACGCAGCCTTTCGCAGTTTCGTGAGGTTCCAAGTGCTACCTGCAAAGTCATTGCCTGATAAGACATTGTCTCTTTCAGACGCAGCTACTGCATTCTGGCCCCATGGCCTCATGGGATAGTGTTCATCAGATGCGCATTTCAGATTCTTGGTGAAAGTACACTAAAAAATGCAAGGTTTTTCCAACCCGAATGTGGGTCAAATATGGAGAAACCCAACCATTGGGTTCAAAATGTAGCCCAGTGGGCGGATTTCCCCATATTTTAACCAAATTTGGGTTGCAAAAACCCAGCATTTTATATTCAACCTGAAGCAGGTTAAAAATGTAACCCAATGGTGGGATTTGTTCATATTTGACCCAAATTTGGGTTGAAACTTTAGTAGTGGTACTTTTCGTCTATTGTTTTATGAATACTACGAATTCAGACACTCATTTCACATATTGGTTTTATATACTAGATAGTCTAGTAGAGAAGAAGGCATATTCTGACCAAGCGGAACAACCTGCCTGCCTATCTCTTGAAACGAACACGGAAGTGTGACTTAAACTGCAATTCATCGACTGGCTGCAGAAGAGAGCCAATCCCATAGACCCCCATGTTAAATTGGCCAACATTACAGCAGAAAAAAAGGTGCAGAAATTGGTTTTGTTCTATAAAGCTAATTTTGCCTTTCATGACAACTTTTACTTTTTTAAATTTAAATTATATTAAGCCTCAAAGTTCTGCATAATTAAGGGTGTGGCCACTTGAGTGATAGGTTGATTGCTGGTGAAGTCACTACTAGCCGTTTGTCAGCTGTCTGTTAGCGTCGCGTCTCCTCTGACCTTTGGCTATCCGAGAGTGACGCTGCCAAGATAGTGACGGCCGCCTCGGCCCACTTTGGGCTTTAAAAATGCTCTCCAGAAACCTACAGGTGACGTAACAGACCCTAAGTCTATATTTTTTTACAGTCTATAATTCGGATGCATCACTAGACAAAAATACACTGGTGTTTGATATGTTTGGTGCCTGTGTTCGTACCGTATGAGCAGAGCGGCTCGTCAGACGAGCTGGTGGAGGTGGGCAGCAGCGACCTCATCAGGCCATCGTTGGTCATGTTCAGCTGAGGCAGCGAGATGGCGTTTTTAATGATGGGCGAGATGGGCGGCGGGGGGGACGAGAAGTCACGTGACCCCCCCCTCATCCGGGGCATGGGGGGTTTCCTTACGTGCTGTAGAGTTCGAGACAAAAAACGTGTCGTTCTGGAGCCAGTGGGTGAATCTGGGTAACCATCGTTGTTAGCCGATCCGCCGTAGTTGCTCAGGAACGAAGTGTCTCCGAAGACGTCTCCGCCGCGGCCCACGTGCATCGTGTGGCGGAAGTCGCCGAGCGGCGGGCTGATCATGTCCACCGACAGGTCGCTTTTAAACCGCCGTTTGGCATGAGACGTGGACACCAGGCCTTTGATCGCCGGCAGCTTTCCCAGACTCATGACGAGAAATATTGGATTTATATGATCCTTAAAGAAGATCCAAAATGGCTGTCAAAAATATAGCAAGCTGTTGATGATGATGTGCAGTAAGTCCAACAGACGTTGGACTTACTGTAAATGCAGCATAAGTAGTAAATTAATTCCCCAAAAGGTGGTGGAAAGATAGAAGGTGTCTAAAAAAAACGTCCAATCAAACATTTACAGATAAATGGGTCATAATAGAGGCTAAACTAATGTTAAATAATCCCCAAAACGGATCCGGAAAGAGAGAGATCGTTTTATGAAGCTATAAAATACCCAGATAAAAACGATAAATGATTCAATAAATGCCAAATTAATGTTGAATAATCCTTAAAACAGATGGTGGAAGAGCATATAAAAAATGCTTAACACTAGTTTGACGAAGCAATAAAATACCCTGATAAGCGAAGCTCAATAAATGCTAAAATAATGTTGAATATATTTTTTAAAAAGTTCCAGAGAGAAAAAAAAATATCAGAAAAATACTACAAAAAAACACACAGATAAATGCAACTAAAACAATGCTAAAGTAATCCCTAGACAGATAAAAAAGAGAGAAAAAAATATTTAAAGAAATCTGAAAAATACAAACAAATTCCAGTGATAGTTGAAGGAATCAATCAAATAACTGAATAAATCCAGATTAAAAAAACACTAAATTAATGTGAAATAATTAGTATTAATGAGATCCAAAATGCTCAAATAAATTTCCTAATGCTGTAAGCTTAAATGCATTAATTAAACAAAACAGCATAGGTTAATTAAAAGTGTTGTTTTTTTCAGATTCAAACTTCTAGATGTGCAAAAAAACACAACAACTCTGTTTGATTATAATACTCTGCAAAAAAATGTCAGTTTTGACAAACTCTCGGCTGTTCTGATACGAGTGCCATCGAGATCGTGATGACAGCACATCTACTAATAAATACCATCTACATATTCATCAAGAGTTCATATAGACACGCATTCATCCTGTACTGCACGAGCACCATCAGTCCGTGAGCCGCTGCCCATCCCGACCCGGAGTTTAAAAATAACCCCGTAAAGAAGCCTAATAGGATTTACCAAGAGTTTAAACACCTTCCAGTGAGCACAAAAACCCTGCACTCTCTCTGATAGTGGAAAAAAATGGCTTTCTTGCAAAAAATGTCTTTAAAAAACAGCACACTGCTTTTAGAGACTTCTTCCAAACATCCGTTTTGCTCCTTCATCACCTCTTATGTCTCTTTTTGAACATGCACTGTTTCTCCAAAGATTTGGCTTTCCGTTAGATTTGTGACTTGCAGCGCTGTGCTTTTTCTTCAGTCCCGGCACACCTGTCTTCCACTGTCGCCCTGATCCGATGTGTTAGTGTTTATGAATCCCACCGCAGGCCGTTCGGCGTCCCAGAATCCCCCAAAACACCCGGTCTAAAGCGCATCAGGCGTGCGTGTGATCCGCTGTGTTTTGTCTGTGAGTCGTCTGAGTTTGAGCGGCTGGGATTGGCCTGGATTAGCGGGATTATTAGTCCCCACTCTCTCTCTCCCCCTCTCTCTCTCTCTCACTTCTCTTATTCTTTCTCTCGCCAGACTGTCTCAATCCATTTAGCCACCCGTCAGTCAGTATTTTCTGTTCACACCGTGACACGCGTCCTGAGAAAGAGAAAGAGAGAGTAAAAAACAGACGACGTCACTTTCTTTTGTTAAACAATCTTTACTCTGTTAAGCAATAATGATCATCATTTATGCAGCAGTTTCATAGGCTAAATCAATACTGTATTAAACACTGTATTAAAATTAACAAATAGTAGCTAATAGTAAACAAAACATGTAGAGAAAAGAGCTTAATCATTATGAAAATATTGGTCACAATGATTCTCAAATGATTAAATGCAGAACTTGATTGTCTTCATAAATAGTTGTTTTTTATCTTCATGATTTTCCATTTTTGTCAAATAAAATCACTAGATGAAGTGAGGATTGATCAGTATTTTATATTAAGGAAACACTTCAAATAAAAGTTATTTTAAATGGAAAAGCACTCCTGTGACATTAGAGTTAAAGGATAAAGTGACTCTAATGAGCCCCAAACTTTGTTGTCAGCGAGATTTTCCTGTCGCCCTTTTAATTTACACAGTTAGTGTAGAGAAACAGCAGCATCTGGCTCTATTTTGTCTGCTTGTTTACATGCTTTAACATACACACACAAACACTTGTCTCCATCCATCCAGACTGTTGTTGTGTTTAATTACAACTGTGTGAGTCTCTCTCTACACACACACACCCACCCACGTTCAGCCCATCAGACAGACTGAGGAAGCGAGAGGGAACTAAAGGAAACAATCTGTGTGTGTTTTTCTGTTTCTTTCAAACATGCATTAATATTTATACGATGGTCTCAATTTTCTTGTGATGAAGTGTGCTGTTTTCTACTATTTTTTTCTTAATCTGAATGTAACAGATCCTCACTGTATAGTGATGATTGACAAATGACAATTCAACCGTTTTCACACCAAAATCAAAAGAAAGAAATACAAAATTATATTTGGCATAGCTATAGAAAATTAAGTCCAAACTAGTGCGATATGTATGCTGACATTATTTTAATAACGATAAAGTTCATTTACACCAAAATATCCTTACTGCAAATGCAAAATAATCTCATTCTCATTGCTGTAAGGGGAACAGTTGTTTTGTGACGACATTTATGACATATTCGACAAGACAACTAACGTTATTGTCTATCTGTTGTAGGAAAAAAGCAGTTCACAAACACAATATGAACCATGAATCATTGATATTCTGCATGAAAACAAATAACATTTCGTTTGTTTACTTACAACAATTAAACGCGATGATTAACGTTATAGCGAATAAAATAACCAAACATGGATATTCACCTTTGTTGAAGCCTTTTAAAATGTAATTCACGCGAGCAGTTTATTTTATTTTTGAAGTAATAAACATCAAACTTACCAAAAAACACAGAATAAAGTCAAAGTTTCAGACTCAGAGCGTTGATGAATAATTCTCCAGAGATCGCTCAGCGCCATGCGCGCACCCGCTACTGGTCGGCCGCGAGCCGATGATGACGCGCATGCGCAGTGGGACAGACACGCGCCTGCAGAAGCATGCTCACTTTTGACAAACAAATATTTGTTTTATTATTTTTATCTACGAAATGTTTTACAGGACATATGTAAAGGCTACATGACTTTAACAGTATTTTTTTATTTTATTATTTTTTACAAAGGAAAAAAGAAAAGAAAACGCAACCCATATCAGGCTATATTTATGTTAGGCTACTAACAAGGGTTAGATCCCTTCTCACTCGCTCTACAACATGTTTCCTCCCAATCAAGAACAAAAACAAGAAGAATAATATGTTCTGTTGTTTCTTTTTCCTCTTTTCCTTCTGATTCTCATCCCAGTCACCTCCAAAAAAAAACAGTCTCCGGCTGAAGAAATATTCATATGAAGAGAAAATGTTTTTTGGACTTGGACGCCGGACAGACGCTCTCCAGTGAGGACAAAATTACACTTTCACCTTCACTTCTGCACTACTTCCACTCACTCTCACACACATTTATATCACATATTAATTTAATTTAACACATTAATCTCTCTCTCTCTCTCTCTCTCTCTCTCTCTCTCTCTCTCTCTCTCTCTCTCTCTCTCTCTCTCTCTCTCTCTCTCTCGTGTGTGATGCATGCTGGGAAGTGAGGGTGTGGAGTGGCGTGGGGTGTGAGAGCGGTGCGCTTGAATTCGTTTCAATTTTTTCCCGGTTTTAATTTGTTCTTTATATGGTGGGTGTTTTTTTCTTTTTCTTTTTTTCTTTTTCTTTATCACACTTTATACTTTTTGGGAAAAAATAGTTGGAAAAGGAAAAAAAAAATAAATACGGTTGTTGATTTAGAAAACTATGGCGTCTCCCTCGGGTGAGGGAACGCCTGGTTTCTCAATCAAGAATGGATGTAAAATTGCTACGGATCAAGTGTTTACGATAGAAGATGTTCTACTAGCAATCGGAGAGGTTGTAGGACATGAAAAAATTGTCTCGGCCTCTAGAATGAATAAGGCTGTTGTGGTTTTCCTGAAAGGGGAAAATCTAGTGAACAAGCTCGTGGAAAACGGAATTGTTGTGTCTGACACGTTGGTGCAGGTAACGCCGTTGCGCGCACCGGCTACTAAAGTTACGATTTCGAACGTGCCCCCATTCATATCTGATGAAGAGATTGCCAAAGAACTTGGTCGGTTTGGTAAGTTTGCCAGTTCCATCAAAGCAGTGCCACTTGGATGCAAAAATGCTGCATTGAAGCATGTGTTGTCTTTTCGAAGACATGTTTTCATGTTTTTAAATGCACCGTCTAAGACTTTGGAAATCTCTTTTCGCATACAGCACGGCGATAGTTCGTACATGATTTTCGCAACAACGGAGAGTATGCGTTGTTTTGATTGCGGAGATTTGGGGCATAAGAGATTTACTTGCCCGCATAAAAAACAGACGGAGAATGAAGTGAAGGACGGAAATACTGAGGAACACGTAGATTGCTCTGAGACTATTGAAAATCGTGATAAAGAAAAAAGACTTAAAATCACAAAAGAAACAATGATTCCATCAAAAAACAAAAAGAGGCAGGAAACTCTAGTGGAGGATATAGAGGCAACTGTTTCTACCTGTGGAGTTCTTCAACCCAGCGAAACAACCCAGGCTAAATCCTCAATTGAGCAAAACGCTTCAGAACACAGTTCAAAACAGAGGTGAGTGTTTTTTAATGTTTTTAATCAAGATGGTGAAAACAAAGGGGGCCCAAATGTTCCGACAGAGGTAGTTGATTCGGTAAGGGAGAGGGAAGCTAGTATTGGTGTAGAGGATGAGTGTGCTGGGGCTGTGCAGTCTGCCGTGACAGCTGAGGAAGACAGCGATGAGGCGCAGATGGAGGAAGGTGATAGCGGCGCTGAAGGGTCTGAGTTTGATTACAGTCAGTCAACGACTGACGTTTATTCTGTGGAAGAATTGAATAATTTTCTGGATCAAACTAAAGGGAAAAAAGTTGATGTTTCTAAGTACTTCGCTGACGGAAATAAATTTGTTAAATCGGTAATGTTTGCTCAGAAGACTGTTGGGTACGATGTGATTTCGAAACAAAAAAGATTTAGGCTGAAAAAATTAATGACGGCTGTACGTAAAGCTCAAAGTGATCAGGCAAAATTGTTAAAACGAAAAAAATAAAAGCACATGGCTGTGGGATTTATTTCCTTTTTTGTTTTTCTGCTATTTCTTTTTCTGTTTCTTTTTTCTCTCCCCTATAATGCAGTTATTGAGAGTGGGATCTTTAAATGTGAATGGGTTGAGGGATAGTGGAAAAAGAGCTTTACTATCTGAATTTTTTAGACTTAAAGACAATAATGTAATATTCTTACAAGAAACGCATAGTGATCCCAATAATGAATCTGAGCTGAATTTGTGGTGGGAAGGGAAAAGTTGTTTGAGTCATGGCACAAATATCAGTGCTGGAGTAGCTATCTTGTTTTCAGCTAATCTTGATGTTAATATTTTATCAAAAGTAGAACTGGAGAAAGGGCGTCTTTTGATTGTGAAAGTTGACATTCATAATCAAATATTTGTTTTCATCAATATTTATGCTCCAAATAGAGGCACAGATAGAACGATGTTATACAGAAAGTTGGGAGATATTTTTAAAAAGTTTTACACTGGATGAATTTATAGTTGTCGGTGGTGATTGGAATTGTACTCTCAATTTTATTTTGGACAGAAATAATGAAGAACCAGATTCTGTATCAGCTTCTTACTTGAAAAGTGTTCTTGTTCAAAATGATTTTATAGATGTCTGGAGAGAAAAGAATAATACTGTAAACAATACACATGGACAAGAGTTTCACAAGGTAGGATTAGTGCAGCTAGACTGGACCGGATTTATATTAAACGTAAAGAAAATAATAGAGTAATGGAGTGTAAAATTGTTCCATGCTGTGTATCGGATCATCATTTTATCACAGTAAATATTGCCTTGACAAATCAAAAATGTAAAAGTCCTTACTGGAAGTTTAATGTTGCGCTGTTAAAAGACCAAGATTTTGTTGAAAAATTTGAATTGTTTTGGAGTGAGTGGGTCTCCCAAAAGGATGATTTTGAAAGTTTGATACAGTGGTGGGAGATTGGAAAGACCCAAATAAGAGTTTTTTGTCAGCAATATACTTTCTTGTCTACTAGAAAAATTAAACAACAAATAGCTGAAATTGAGCAAGAGATCTTTAAAATTACATCTGGAATGATTCAACATTCAGATCCATCATTTGATGGGAAGTTAGCTGAAAAGAAACAAGATCTTGAAACTTTATTGCAAGTTCGGGCTAAAGGTGCCCTAATAAGGTCGCGGTTTATGTCTATACATGACATGGATGCTCCCACTGCATATTTTTTTAATTTAGAGAAGGTATTCAAGAAACAAAATGAAATGTACTGTTTAACAACACCAGATGGACTAAAGACTTGTGATTCAAGAAAAATGCGAAAGATTGCAGTGGATTTCTATTCAGAACTATACAAAAAGGAGGACACTGACAATGGATGCACTTTACAATTATTACAACAGCTTCCTACCATCACTGAAGAGCAGAGTCGGACTCTGGACAGTGCTTTATCCTTTCAGGAGTTAACTGAGGCAGTAACACAGATGAGTACTGGTCGTTCACCTGGAATTGATGGACTGCCTGTGGACTTTTATAAAGCTTTCTGGAAGATCATCGGAAGAGACTTTTATGAGGTGGTTCAAAAATGTTTTAATGATAAACTACTTCCTAAAAGTTGTCAACGGGCAGTATTGGCTTTGTTACCTAAGAAAGGAGACTTGAGTCTCTTAAAAAATTGGAGGCCTGTATCAATTTTGACATCTGATTATAAAATAATAGCAAAGTTATTGGCCAATAGAATGAAATGTGTTTTGGGTGATATAATACATCAAGACCAATCTTATTGTATTCCAGGTAGAACAATACATGACAACATTTTTTCTGATCAGAGACATTTTGGACTACTCTAAACTTTATGAAGAGAATATAGGTTTTTTGTTCCTCGATCAGGAAAAAGCCTTTGATCGAGTTGATCATGGTTTTTTGTTTGAAACATTGCATGCATTTGGGTTTGGAAATGTTTTCATTTCTTGGATCAAATTGTTGTACATGGATGTATCTTCTATTTTAAAGATTGGTGGTGGTTTAAGTCAACCAATAAGCATACAGAAGGGTATCAGGCAGGGGTGTCCTCTGTCAGGTCAGCTTTATGCTCTAGCAGTGGAGCCACTTTTATGTCTGCTTAGAAAAGAATTGTCTGGTTTAAGGATTGGTGATGATCTGCATTCTGTTAAACTGACTGCGTATGCTGATGACATTACTGTAATTGTGAAGGAACAAAAAGATATTGATATTATTAATTACAGTATTGGATTGTATGAGAGAGCATCTTCTGCAAAGCTCAACTGGGGTAAAACAGAAGCGTTTTGGTGTAATGAGAAAACAATTCCTTTACCAGTTATCCCTGAAAATGTTAGGTGGGAAAAAATTGGTTTCAAGTTTTTAGGAATTTTTATGGGTTCTGAAAACTATCAAAGAAAAAACTGGGAGGGTGTGAGGGACAAAATTTGTGCCAGATTGTCCAATTGGAACTGGATTTTGCCTCAACTGTCTTATAGAGGAAGAGTGTTGGTTATAAATAATCTTGCCGCCTCTATCCTGTGGCATAGATTAATTGCTTTGAATCCACCAGAAGATTTTATTGGGGGAGTCCAAAAATTGTTTGTCAATTTTTTTTGGTCTGGACAACATTGGTTACGAGAGTCAGTTCTGTATTTGCAGGTACATGAAGGAGGTCAAGGCCTCATGGATATTAAGTCTAAAGTGGCTGCTTTTAGACTACAAACTGCGCAGAGACTACTTTATCATCAGTCTCAGAGCTGGATAACAGTGGCGTGTGCTTTATTAAATCGAGTGGGATGGTTGAATTTGGATAGACATCTCTTTTTAATGAATTTAAAGGAGATGGATCTCA